CACTTCCTGCAGTACATTGATAATCCACCAGACGACAGATTACAGGTCTCACATTATACACAACAGGTTTTGGAGGAAAATATTGATCACACTGATAAAATATAGGTCACAGAATCCTGCATAGCAAATATGATACAAATGGTGATAACTAAGGTAGCCTACTAATATGGGTTTTAGGTGACAAATCAGCTTGAAAGTCTGGAGTGTAAGGGCAGGACTCAAGTTTTAGGCTTAGTTTAAGGTACATATATATGCTTTTAAATCCTTCTTTACCACATTTAAATATTTCAGTTGGGGTCTATATAAAGTGGAACTGCAATGCTTTGGTCTGAATTCCTACTTATTGTACAGTGGGGTGTGAAAGTTTGGGCAGCCTTGTTAATTTTYCTGATTTACCTTTATAAATCATTGATTGTTTGGATAAAAAAAAATCAGTAAAATATATCATATAGGTAGAGTAGGCTGGTAGTAAATCCAGACCTGATTTGATGGCAAATAATTTGTTGTAATAGTTCAGAAAACGTCATAGAAAACAGAGAAAACTGAACATGTTGAACAATATGACCCAAAGAGAATAGAAGGACATCAATGCAGCACCAGGAGAGACTAAATTTACTGTTTCTGCTCTTCTATACAGACTCCAAATACACAATAAAATGTAAATAGTGGCTAAAATAGTGGATTTTGCCTGAMWTGTCCCGTTTAAGAGATTAAAGGGATATTTCAGATCATTAAAAGTGTGGCTCTGTGTAAAAAATATAAACAACAATAGTTCTTTGAACAACTCAGTTTGGGGATGTGTGTATATATATATATATATACACATAACAGCTAATCTGAAGCAATGTAAAAGTTTGCACAAACTGTAATGAATATTCATAGATTGGAATTATTTTAAGACAGCAGCAATTAAGTTTTATCTCAGTGATGCTGTGACATTTGTTTGTTAATCCAGTCAGAATAAATTATCCCTCTCCAAACGGAAGTTGTTCAAAGAGCTATCTACAACAGGTAAGATATTGCTTGTTCATATCCTTTCCACAGAACCCCACTTAATAAAATGTGAACTTTTACTTTGTTCAAAGATGATTTTAATTTATTCTAAATTAGTTTAAGACTTCCAACAGTAATTCTTTAGAATATGCCTAAAAAATGCCAGGCCTGACTAGTTTTCAGTTTTTTTTATTGTTGTTTTCTTTTTAAAATCCTTTCTAAAACAACTATACTAATACTGTTTTGTGGTTTTCTCAAACTTATAAATTCAAGCCTTTTTTATACTTCAGTTGCTCTATTCCCAACATCCTGGTGATGCAACTTGTGTAAAGTGATACTGGGAGGAGAACAAGAGGCCTGGAGGCAAAAGAACACAGTCTAAATATATTTTAGCAGCAGTGTGGGAGTCCTCCTTGTGTCTGTGTTTTGACTGAAAGACAGAAAAAATATGGAATAGCAGCATTTAATCTAACACTAATCTCAGACTGGTGAACTATAGTTTCACCTGAGGTCTTAAATTAATCTCAGCWCTGTTACAGAAACAAAACACGCTGTTGTGGTTATTTGTTGTCATTAAATTTATGCTTGAGTGGTCTGAATAGTTGACATTTTGGAGGAAACATGATATAAWGTTAACTTACCTGCAGATGAAAAGAAGACAGAAGAAATCTGGTCCTTTAAAAATGTCCAAAATGCCTTTATCAGCATCCAAACGTGCTTCACCTTTAAATCATGGCTGAACATTGACCTTCACATACGCCATGTTATTCTATTTCATTTCCATTGCCAGTGTCAGTCACATCTCTTCTCTCAGGTTTCTCCAGTTCATGCTGGTAGGTCGTCCAAATGCAACATATTTCCCTTTAAGTTYGACAAGAGTCATTTCACATCCTCTGTTGCTGCTCTTTCCAGCTGTTGCTTTAATCTCGTCAACTTATTTGTTTCTCCTCGTTTTCAGCATCTTTAGTCTCTCTCTCCTCCCTCAGTGTTCCTGCCTTCCCACTTTTCTCCCTCAAACTCTGAAGCAACCCTCTGTTTAGTCCTCAGACAGGAAGTCTCTGTGTTTACATTCTGTGAGGGCACGCGCGCACGCACACACACACACACACACACACACACACACAC